GCTTGGGGGTTTGGGATTTCAAAAGAAGAACCTTCAGCACAAGACCTGCTTAGGGTAAGAAGTTATAGAGGTTTTGGGTTTTTTTCGGGTTTAGGGGCTGTTGGGTTCAAAACGCCAGCGCCCCCCCCCCCCCCCCCCCCAAAAAAAAGGCAAATGAATAACAACAATAAAAATAAAACAAAATCGTTCGGGCATCAGGTTATTGCGGGATTGATGGAAAGGAGTCTTCAGCCCTATAAACCCTTGACCCCAAACCGTAAATCCCTAAACCCTTACACCCTAAGACCCTTAAACCCTTAATTCCGGGTTGGATCTGGTTGCGGGCACGGGGTGGTCTCCTCAACCCAGCATCAACCGGTGCTAATACGTGGGCTTTGTAATTTTTGGTTTTTAGGGCTTTTTGTTTTTGAGGGCTTTTGGGTTTTTGTTTTGCCAGCTCTCTGACAGTCCGCAGGGGGTGACTGCGAGAGTGCAGGGTGCAGGGATGCGGTGGACTTCTGGAGGCTTTCCAAACAAAACAGAGACCCTAAACCCTAAACCCTAAACCCTAAACCCTAAACCCTAAACCCTAAACCCTAAACCCTAAACCCTGAACCCTAAACCCTAAACCCTAAACCCTAAACCCTCTTTTGGGAGGGCTCCTGTAAGAAGGACTATAGCGGTTGGCGGCATAGAAGGGATGCCCGCTCCAACCCCCCCCCCCCCCCCACGGTTCTGGGAGGTGCCTTTGTGGGCTCAACACGCACCCCAAACCACCTTACTGCGGGATCCTAGCCCCCCCTCCCTCTCTCCCTCCGAACCCTAAACCCTAAACCCTAAACCCCAAACCCTAAACCTTAAACCTTAAACCTTAAGTCGAAAACCCTAAACCGCAGCTCCGCAATGAAGATTTTTTTTGGCCGTGTACTGTAGGCAGGGCGACTGTGCAGGTTGCCCAAAGACCCTACAACGCGAGTCCTCCGAGCAGGTTTAGGGTTTAGGGTTTAGGGTTTAGCTTGGGGTTTAGGGTTTAGGGCAAACCGATACACCCTAAAACGCTGAAGGCTGTTCAAAAGCTCTCCTGTCGGCCTACACGCAGCTCCTGGCCAAGCTTCACCCCAACATCCTCTCCTCATGCCACTTGGCCTCCTAGAACGTAGTCCCCTAGGGCCCTATGTAGTTTAGGGTTTTGGGTATAGGGTTTATCATTTAGGGTTGAGGGTTTAGGGTTGAGGGTAGATACTTGGGCCTCAAGTACAGGGGGAACCCATATATTGCCTTCAGGGCCCGAAGTGTGCTACATAGGTACATGAAGCAGGGTATATATTTCTTGTATCCCCAAAAGGACACCCAAGGTATACACTCACCAATATTAAAAAGGAACCTTATATACACTCACCAAAAACAGTAATATGTACCCTGCCTCACATAGACCCTTAGGGAGCTTTGTAAGGGAAGTTACACGGCCCCTTTAACCCTCCTAAAAGGGCTCCGAAGCAGGGGCCCTTGGGTGTGACAGCCCTAAACCCTAAACCCTAAACCCTAAACCCTAAACCCTAAACCCTGAACCCTGAACCCGGAACCCTAAACCCTGAACCCTGAACCCTGAGCCCTAAACCCTAAACCCTGAACCCTGAGCCCTAAACCCTAGGGTATGTAAGATCTGAACTGCCCTTGAGGCCCTAAACCCAGGTCTCAGGTTCTTAGGGACCATGAAGCTGTAGGGTTTCGGGTTTAGGGTTTAGGGTTTAAAAGCCCAGGTCCCAGGTTCAGGGGACTGGTTGGAGTAGTGGGGAGTATGAGGGAACCTTGGGTCGCATACCCCCTTGGACCCCCCTCCCTAAAGAACCTTATAACTCAGGGCTTCACTGGGTTTACTAGGGTTTAGGGTCTTTGGGTTTGAACCCTAAACCCTAAACCCTAGACCCTAAACCCCTCAAACCTGAAAACCACCCTCACTCCTAACCCCTACACACTAAACCCTAAACCCTAAACCCCTAAACCCCTAAACCCTAAACCCTAAACCCTAACCCCCCCCCCCCCCCCTCTAGCCATTAAGGCTGCACCCCCGGCTTCATCGACACGGCCATCGTGAAGGGATGGGGTGCCACCAAGCCACCCGAGGCGGCACCTGCGTGGCCAAACCCCTAAACCATAAACCCTAAACCCTAAACCCTAAAACCAACCCTAAGACCCCCAAAAGCCGTGCGCAGGGCTTCAGGGCCTAGGTGGGGACTTGCTTGGAACTTCATGGGTTGTTCTAACTGTGGTTTCAAAATTAGGGTTTAGGGTTTAGGGTTTAGGGCTTAGGGTTCAAGGACATATTTGGTTGGGAACTACTGAATTGGGAAGCTTAGAACTGCCTGTGAACCTCTAAGATTGGTGTTCCAAAACACCTGCCATTAGAACGGTCAAGCAGTCTCTGCCTCTGGCGGGTGACTCGTTGGAGTTTCGGTGTGGGGGTGGGTTTACTGTTTCGCGCCTCTGGGTTTTCGGGACAGCACATGGGGCAGGGGATGGGATGGGGTTGAGATTCAGGGTTTAGGGTTTAGGGTTTAGGGTTTACGGTTTAGGGTTTAGGGCCAGTGCGGTGTTGCGGCCTCCTTGCCCCCAAGACCCCCCCGCACCCACATCTTTCTACAAGCAAGAAGGCTTATTCCTGCCGCCGAAACTCCCAAATCAGAAGCCCCAAGCCCTAGAACCCTGAACCCACACACTTCTACACCCAGAAACCCTGAATCCTCAAGCCCTTATTAACCCTATTCACCCTATAGTCCCGAACCCTGAGCCCTAAACCCTAAACCCTAAACCCTAAACCCTAAACCCTAAACCCTAAACCCCTGCGCCCAGAGGAGGGTACCGTCTCCATCCGGCACTGCCTGCTGAAGCCCTTGGATGGCAATGGGCAGCAGGGCGGCAGCCAGAAGTGTTCTGGTGGCTTCGGGTGCTCTAAACCCCAAACCCCAAACCCTAAAACCTAAACCCTAAACCCCAAACCCTAAACCCCAAACCCTAGACCCTAAACCCTAAACCCCAAACCCCAGACCCTAACGCCTGAAGCTTATAAACCCGAAGCCCTCAACCCTAAACCCAAATTAAGGGTGTTTGGCAGGGCCTAGCACAAACAAGGAGGCCTGGGGAGTCCTGGAGTCCTAAGGCTGGAGGGTTTACTGCTTTGAGGGTTTAGGGTTTAGGGTTTAGGGTTTAGGTTTTGGGGTGTAGGGTTCAGAGGGTACTACCCAGTTCTAGTCATGTAATGTTACTTCCAGCCCGGGCTGCCATACTTGTTGCACTAGGGTGAGTCCCTGAGGTACTACTACGGCTCTGATGCTGTCCGGTCTCCCTATCACTTCCTAAACCCTAAACCCTAAAACCCTAAACCCTAAACCCTAAACCCTAGGGTGATCCCTGAGGTACTACTACGGCTCTGATGCTGTCCGGTCTCCCTATCACTTCATGCGGAACCCGGGGGAGCCCGCCTATGATGGCACGAACCCATTCTGAGTGAGGAGCGCCCTTTGACTTCCGGGGGCTTCAGGGGGCCGGGGATGAATGAAGGGTTTAGGGTTTAGGGTTTAGGGTTTAGGGTTTAGGGTTTAGGGTTTAGGGTTTAGGGTTTAGGGTTTAGGGTTTAGGGTTTAGGGTTAGGGTTTAGGGCTTAGGGCTTAGGGTTGGGGTCGTGGTCCGAGGGTTTTCTGTAGGGTTTGGGCAAGGTAGGCATCTGCTTTTTGCGGGGCTGAGGGTTCCGGATTGTAAAGCTCAGAGGTCTCGAGCGTGGCTTTCATCTCTTGGGCTTCAGGTTTCGATGGCCCAGGGTCGTATGTAGGATTTTTTGGGTTTGCGGTTTAGGGTCGGAGCTGCTCAGGGAAAGGTTTAGGGTTCAATCTGGTGCAGGGCAGCCCTGATTATTCCTTGCGTCCTCGGCCCCAGGGCAAGTTGTGCCGGGGTCACTTGGAGCAGTTTTACCCGCCTGCCCGTGCAAGTGGAGATGGAGCGGCTGCTAGCAAAAGCCCTCATGTGGTGTTGCAGGGTTTAGGGCTTGGGATTTAGGGAGCCTCCAAAGCACCAGGGCTACAATCAACATAGTCCTTCAACTTGTCTGAATTCCGGGTTTAGGGTCCCATGATCTTGGGCAAAGCTCTTGCGTTAGCCGAACCCCAAGTCCCAAATTCTTAGGGTGTTGGTAGTTCTAGGTTCAGGGCTTCTGGCCAGCCAAAGCTACCCCCCCCCCCCCCCCCCCCCCCCCCCAAGGCGACGGGCGACGACGAGCGTGAAGTTGGGTTTAGGTTGCCGTCGAGGAACCCTAAACCCTAAACCCTCCTAACCCTCTTAACCCTCATTGAGGATTTAGGCTTATAGCGGACTGATGGGGTTTTAGGAGGTGAAGGCCTTGAGGGGCTGTGAGGGGGTTTGTGGCTTTAGGGGTTTGGGCTTTAGGGTTTGGGGTTTTGGGGGTTGAAGGGTCTGGACTCGCGGGGTGTTCAGATGTTTCGTGTTTAGGGGTTTGAGGGTTCAGATTTGAATGGGCGACGTGGCTCTATAGCAGGCGCATTGAACCCCAAAATGCCCACCTCAATCCCAAGCACCGAACTCTTTAAACCCCGCCGTCCTCTACGCCCCAAGCCCAGCTGTAAGCTAAACCCTAAACCCTAAACCCTAAACCCTTAACCCTAAACCCTAAACCCTAAACCCATCGAGCCAACCGGAAGGCTAATGACTCAATGGACTGACGTACCAGAATTACGAGAAGCCACGCTTTTCAAGCCTGGAGTGTGCCCGAAATGCAACGGCGCGCAGAATCGTAGGCACCCAAAATCGAGCGCAAGGAAAGGGTCTTAGCATCACTCTGAACCCTAAACCCTAAACCCTAAAACCCTAAACCCTGAGCTTTTGAGGAGCCTTAACACCTTGAAGCCCCCCCCCAAGCCTGTCCCCAAACCCTAAACCCTAAACCCTAAACCCTAAACCCTAAACCCTAAACCCTAAACCCTAAACCCTAAACCATCAACTCCGGCTCCGAGGTCCGTGAAGCCTCACCGGGCGGGCTGCTCTTTGTGCCTGGGCGCAACTCAAGTCCCAGTGTTTTCTGGAGTGGGGTTTAGGGTTTAGGGTTTAGGGTTTAGGGTTTAGGGCTAGGGTTTAGGGTTTAGGGTTTAGGGTTTTGGGTTTTGGGTTTTGGGTTTTGGGTTTTGGGTTTTAGGGTCGAGGGTTTGGGGTGTAAGGTTTTGGTTAAGGACTTTGGGGTTTTAAATTTTCAGGATTCAGAACCCAACATTTCATCTCCAAACCAGAAGGAGCTGAGAATTTTAGGGTTTTGGGGGTATAGGATTTGGGGTTTACGGTGTTCAGGCTTTTGGTTCAGCGTGCATTCGTTACAGCTTATACGGCTGCTTTTGGGTTTAGGGTGTGTGGGTCTTAGATTCGATTGCCAAACCTGAAAGTCCCAGCCTCCACATTAAAACGGGTTGAGGGCTGAGGGCCCCAAACCCAAGCACCCGCCACATCCACCCAATATCCCTCCAGCCCTGTTTATGCCTGAAGCCCCCAGACCCTAAATCCCGAAAACCTCAAGGCCCTTATATCCTTCAAGCCCCAAATCCCTAGACCCCTAAACCCTAAACCCTAACCCCAAACCCCTAAACCCCTAAACCCCTAAACCCCTAAACCCCTAAACCCCTAAACCCCTAAACCCCTAAACCCCTAAACCCCTAAACCCCTAAACCCCTAAACCCCTAGACCTAAACCCCGAAAGTCTCAAGCTCAGAAATCAGCCTGAAGGTTTAGGGTTTAGGGTTTAGGGTTTAGGGCTTAGGGTTTAGGGTTTAAGGTTTAGGGTTTAGGCCGTGTTTGACCTTACAGAAAAAACTCTATAAGCCCCATACCCTAAACCCTCAAGATTCACAAGCCCTAAATCCCTGAAGCCCTGAACCCCATAACCCTCAACCCCACACCCTACAGCCCCGAACCCAACCCTAAACCCTAAACCCTAAACCCTAGGCCCTTAACCCTAAACCCTAAACCCTGAACCCTAAACCCTAAACCCTAAACCCTAAACCCTAAACCCTAAACCTTACGAGCCCAACTCACAGGAGTACCTCTCCCTGGCCCACCTGGCTGTATGCCTCGGACCCGTTCTGTTCGTTCATGGTGGCCTGCCCCGATCGACGCATGGCCGTTTATGGGCTTCAAGGGGTTTAGGGTTTAGGGTTTAGGGTTTAGGGCTTAGGGTTTAGGGTTTAGGGTTTGGGTTTAAAGGGGTCAATAGTTGTGGGGTTCAGGGTTTTGGGCTTAGGATTTGGAGGGCACCTCTTCATGACTTATTGGGGCCACGTTGTGTTTTTTTTTTGGGGGGGGATGCTTAGGGTGCGGGGTCAGAAGCTACTTAGCACCATGTAACTCTGGTCTGGTCTGTCAAGTCAACACCCGTACAGCTCTAACCCGAAGCTATCAATCCAGAAACCCTAAACCCTAAACCTAAGACAGGGGGTACTGAAGGACCAAATGAACCCGATGAGGGCTTATGGTTCATATACCTTAATTGGAATTGTAGTAGGATAGGGCAAATGACCGCTTTTTTTGGGGCTCATGTGGTCCCCAGCATACCTCCTTAATACACCCCAAATTCGCCAGAAGGGTACACCTGCTTTTTAGGGTTTAGGGTTTACAGTTTAGGGTTTAGGCAACTAGGGTTTCGGGTGACCCTAAACCCTAAACACTAAACCCTGAACCCTCCACCTTGCCCCAAAGCCTGCCCCTAAACCCTAAACCCTAAACCCTAAACCCTAAACCCTAAACCACTTACCACCCGGCATCGTATCCTCAGGGACACCACCTGGAGACCGGGTTGGCTTCCTCCACGGGGGGAGGCCGGCATTTCGGTGCTTTCGGGGTTCGGGGATTGGCCTTCGGGGGCTTTGGGGTTGAGGGTTTTAGGGTTTTAGGGTTTTAGGGTTTTAGGGTTTTAGGGTTTTAGGGTTTTAGGGTTTTAGGGTTTTAGGGTTTTAGGGTTTTAGGGTTTAGGGTTTTAGGGTTTTAGGGTTTTAGGGTTTTAGGGTTTTAGGTTTTTAGGGTTTTAGGGTTTTAGGGTTTTAGGGTTTTAGGGTTTTAGGGTTTTAGGGTTTTAGGGTTTTAGGGTTTTAGGGTTTTAGGGTTTTAGGGTTTTAGGGTTTTTTGGGTTTTTGGGTTTTTGGGTTTTAGGGTTTTAGGGTTTTGGGGTTGAGGGTTTTAGGGTTTTGGGGTTGAGGGTTTTAGGGCTGAGGGCTTGAGGGCTTGAGGGTTTGAGGGTTGAAGACGTTCAAGGCCAAAGGGTTAGGGGGGGTCATGGCTCAGGGGTTCTTATACTAGGACCGGGAGTAGGCCCTTTTTTCCTTTTTTTTGGGGTTGGGGTTCCCTTGTAATCCCCTTAAAGCAAAAAAGGGTACCCTTTTCATTCCTAGGTTACTCCCGGGTCTAGTATAAAGGTTTAGGATGGTTTAGGGATTAGGGTTTAGGGTTCGGTAGAAGTCCCTTCTTACGGAACATGCAGGTCAAAGGGCATCGGAAACAGTAAGGATGGGCAAGGACATGGCATGCCATCTCTGTTTAGGAGGAGGAGGAGGCTAGAAGTAGCGAGTCGAAACACCCTAACCTTGAGGGGTAAAAGGAGGGACCCCCAGAGGGGACCCTTAATCATTATTCCCCTAGAGAACCCCAGTATATACCTTGTATCGTCCCTACCTACCTAAGTAGTCCCTAAACCCCTAAATTAACCCCCAAGGCCCCTTATTAGGGTCCCTCTTTAGTCCCTTGAAACCTTAAACAGCCTAAACCCTGCCATTGTCCTTCACTTCGGTGGTTCCTTTGCGCGCTGTCCGCCTCGGATCAAGCCCTTCAAAACCTTACAAACAACTCACGCCATCTTGCACGGTTCGACTACTATGCTGCTGGGCAGAGCCTTCCTGTGCTTCTGTCTTCCGGTGATAGCTGTGGCCCTGCGCCACAGCAGGGCCTCATATCCCTTAGCTGCTAAGCGGGCCGTTGGGATGTTTCATGTTTTCATTTGTATAGGTGCTAAGAGCGAGAGACCCTAACCCCTCAACCCTGAATCCTAAACCGTGAACCCTAACCTCTAAACCCTAAACCCTAAACCCTAAGCCCTAAACCCTAAGCCCTAAACCCTAAGCCCTAAACCCTAAACCCTAAACCCCAAGCCCTAAGCCCTAAGCCCTAAGCCCTAAGCCGTAAACCCTAAACCCTAAACCCTAAACCCTAAACCCAAACCCAGGATAAGGTGGCCTTCATCGGCCGCTGGTTTGAGAAGCGATGCTCCTGGGGCTTAGCCTCGTTCACATTAACCTTCCAGGGTTCCAGCTCCTCAGTTCTTGAGTAGGGTTTAGGGTTTAGGGTTTAGGGTTTAGGGTTTAGGGTTTAGGGCTTAGGGCTTAGGGCTTAGGGTTTAGGGTTTAGGGTTTAGTTTTTCACTTTTGGGGGTAAGAGGTACTCCTACCCTAAACCTTGTAAACCCTCAACTAAGGCTCTGTAGTTGCGCTCTTGGCGGACAGCGGATCTAAGCGCTACACCTGCCAAATCGATGGAGGTGGGATGGGGACCCTAAACCCTGAACCCTAAACCCTAAACCCTAAACCCTAAACCCTAAACCCTCGCAACCCAGCCGCCCTTCCCCGTTTCTTAGCATACATCCTGAGCCTCAAGCCCAAAAACTTAGACCCTAAACCCTAAACCCTAAACCCTAAACCCTAAACCCTAAACCCTAAACCCTAAACCCTAAACCCTAAACCCTAAACTACACCGAACCCTCAACCATCTTGGATGAAGGCGCCGACCAGGAGGTGCTTCTTCACGGGGGGAGGCTGGCCATTGCCGTCGGGCTTACTACCGGCGTTCACACCATCCGATGCGGCCGGAACACAGAAGCCTCCTTTGGGGAGACCCCTGGCAGGGGTGAAGGGTTTAGGGTTTAGGGTTTAGGGTTTCGGGGCAGGCTTTTGAAGGTTTGCTTCTGCATTCTCTTAGTGGGTAGAAGAGGATCTTGTTTTTTAATGTCCCTATATAAACCCTACCTCCCTATGTTCCGAGTATTTAAAACGCCCAATATCCCTTACTTAAAGGGGGTTTGCCTGAACTCTACTAGGGATCCGAGTTTGATATAGGGGAGAGTCCATGATGAAGTGATACTGGAAGATCGGCGCCTGAACTCATATAAACCTACTCGGGGTTGTGGGTCTTTGGGTTTATTTTAGGGCCTAGGGCTTGGGATTCTCGTAATTTTTTCTAAGGGCCCAGCAACTCCCCGAGGGTCCATGTAGCCATCTATGGAAATCACTTCACGACCCTAAGCCCTAAAACCCTTAACTGCCCTAAACCCTAAACCCTAAACCCTGAACCCTGAACCCTATAGGAACCTTTTGAAATTGAGGACCGTGCTCCAGGATCTTCTGCTGGATGCCGGGGCGGTTCCTTTAGAGCCCAGGGGTCGCCACGGATTGCGGATGGAGGCCCTTTTGCGGGGTTTAGGGTTTAGGGTTTAGGGTTTAGGGTTTAGTGTTTCGTGTTGAGGGTGGAGGGTTTTGAGTTTAGAGCTCGAACCACATTGGTAGCCGAACCCGCTTTGGACATCGGGTCTGCACCCCAGGATCTTTCAAAACCCGAAGGAGCATTCATCATAGCAGGACGGATCCTTCATGTAATTTCAGGAATTCTAAGGAAGGCCCTAACCCGAATCCCTAAACCCTTTAATTCCTAAACCCTACGGTTGAGGGTTTAGGACTTAGGGTTACGGTTGAGGGTTGAGGACTTAGCCTAGTAGTAGAGTAGGTAAGCTTTAACCTTCTTGGGGTGGTGTAATCCCCTTATAATCCCCAAGGTTAACCTTTCATTCCCCCAGGTTACTGGACAACTAGGTTAAACCCTAAACCCTAAACCCTAAACCCTAAACCCTAAACCCTAAACCCTAAACCCTAAACCCTAAACCCTAAACCCTAAACCCATCTCTGGGGCAGGTGGTGGGGGATTCGATTGCCACGGGTGCTGCAGCCTTGGCGGCGCCTCAGTCTGGCGAACACGGCAATGAGAGCACCGAGGTGCCAATGTTTCCCGCTTATATATATATATATATATATATGTATACATATATATATAGATACATTTTTTTATATGTGTACACACATATATATATATAGTTATTTATTTATTCATTCATTTATTTGTGTGTGTGTTTCTTGGTTATCGATCTCTCTCTTTTTCTTTCGCTCTCTGTCTCTGTCTCTGTCTCTGTCTCTGTCCCTATCTCTCGCTCTCACTAGCGCTCTCGCTCTCGCTCCCTCTCTGTGTCTCGCTCTTTCCACCCTTATGGCAGACATTCCAACATCGTATCTTTGGCCCTCACAGGGCCCTCACATGTATACTATGCCAATGTTATCACACTGTCACAACACACTCCATCATTCCCCCTATAACTCCCCCTGCCACTTCTCATAAATTCCCGACATATAGCAGTTTAGGATCCATTCTAAGGGTATATACACTCCCTAAGCACGCCCACGTCTATAGCCTACAGAAGGGAAAGGGGTCCTGTTTCGAGTTTGCTGCTACGCTTTTCCGGTTTTGGAGATTCTGAATACTGTTGTGTTTAACCATCGGCTATTTCAGGTTTTAGGTTTTTAGGGTTTAAGGGTTTAAGGATTTAGGGTTTACAGTTTTGGATTGCCCATGACTTTTTGATGCACATCGCCCCAAAGCCGGCGTATGCGTAACAAGTGCACCCAAGCCCCAGGCTCTTTCTAGCCCACTGGTGCCCTTTTCGGCTTTTGGATTCCAACAAACACAAAAAAGAGGTGCTGTTATGGCTCGTTGCTGGGCTAAGTACCATTTGCTTCGTGAATCTGACGCCGGCATAACAAATCTAGGCTTTAACACTCTCGCGCCAGGATGTTTTCCAGTCCTTCAGCCGGCTTACTGCGGACGCGTGGAACACAACTGACTGGAGGGTTGTGGCGAAGTCTGGTGTCGGCGTCTTGCCGAATGAGTTCGGCCCTGGCATGAAAGACTTGTTTCCCTGCCGCGAGTTTTCTTTCCGATGCCCTGCTCAGTGGGACTTCCGACAGTGGCAGGCCGACGTGGTCCTGGTCTACTTGGGCACGAACGACTTCCATTTGGGAAACCCAACAACCGCAGCTTTTGAGCAGGGTTACATCGACTTGCTAACTCTCCTGCGATGGAAATATCCTCGGGCTTTGGTTCTTTGCATTGTGCCGGTCATGTACGCGTGCCACGCAGATGAGAAGTGGCAACGAATGCTGCAGGGCATTACAGAGTCTGTTCGAAGCTTTCACGATGCGAGGTTGCGCCTGCATTCCACAGGCCCTGCGAGTTTTTTTTCGCTGAGCGTTCTAGTTCGTCTTGGCACTGTCAAAGGGGTGTTGCATACCTTAGGGACTGGGTAGGTAACCTTTAACCTTTTGGTTATATCGAATCCTACTATATATACATATATATATAGAAGGTTACCCTTTGTGGGGGGCTAAGGGCCCAAAGTAGGAACACTGTGTGTGTTGTTGTTGTGGGATGGCCCTGACAGGCACTCGAGATGCACCCTGGCTCGACTGTGAGAAGGACTTCACGGACTACATCCACCCAACCGCAGAAGGACACAGGAAGTTTGCCCAGCGACTGATTCCGCAGCTGTCGCGGGATCTGCTGCAGTGGAGGTAGCCGCTGAAGAGGAAGGGGTTTGGGGGGGGGGGGGGGGGGGGGGGGGGTAGGGTGATCTACCATGGGGTCGGGGGAATACCATGGGAGGCGGGAGGGGGGTGGGGGGTCAGGACCAGAGGGCTGAACTGTCCTAGGGCTTGGTGTCTTGTGGCTTTGAGTGAGTTGCAGGGTTCGTAGTCACTTGTATTCACCAGCTGCCCGAAACGAAGCTTGTCAATCTTTCGTTCCCCCAGCCCAAAACCAAAACCCCCAAAACCCTAACGTAAAAGCCCAAACACAAACCCTGGAGCCCGAAAGCCGTAAACCCCAAAACGCTCAAATCCCTGGAGCCCTGCAGGAAGGGTAAATGTAGGGTTTCGCGTTGAGGGGTACAATTCCTATTTTGCTGTTGAGATGATGAAGGTTTTTTGAGTACCAGTTCACCAGTTCAGGTTTTGGGGGTTGTACTTTCTTCGTATCTCAAGCTGAACCTGCTGTTGGTGATCGTCGATTTGAGAGGCTGGTTCCAAGGCAACCTCCCCTGAGCCCCACTGTAGACTGCTCACCCAAGCACGCAGAGAATACCGAGCTAAATCAGCTAGGGTGCCCTACATGATACCTTGAGGAGGCATACATAGGGATAGATGGTATACCTAGTTCCCGAAAATCCTCGATTTCCCTGTTAAGACCTTGTAAGTGACTTGAATTTTCCACTCACTTGCTCGTCGAGTGTTCGCATGGCTCAAGCGCCAGCATGCGGCCGTTGACCATCCACGGTCTTGCCGGCTCCACATGTGAGCTCCATGCGGACGATGCGGAAACGGGGATGGATGTGCGGAGACGCGTCGCAGGGAAGGTGAAGGGGTGCAGCTTCCCAGCGGCCTGCAGACCTTAATCTTCGGCCTTTGTTTCAGCCAAAGCTTGGCAGGGGTTCAGCTACCCAGCGGCCTGCAGACCTTGACCTTCGGTCACAGCTTCGACCACAGCCTGGAAGGCGTGCAGCTTCCCAGCCGCCTACAGACCCGGACCTTCGGCCATAGCTTCGACCAGAGCTTGGAAGGGGTGCAGCTTCCAAGCTCCTTACTGCGCTTCTCCTCACACATGTTGACAGTAGACACGTTCAGCTCAACGGGCTTGGTCAATATTATAGTTTGCGCAAACCCCAAGCCCTGCACCATACACCCAAAGCTCTTAGGGCGGTAGCTTAACTTGAGTGCCTGTAGTTTTTTTCATGCGCAGCAAGATCTCTAAAAACCTATTATGCTAACCTCCTTCAAGTTCCTGAACCCTGAACCCTAAACTTACCCGCAGCACGTGTGGTTTGCCCACACCCATTGGTTGCTCATATGGCCTGCCCAGGATTAGGGTTTAGGGTGTAGGGTTTTTAGGGTTTAGGGTTTTAAGGATTAGGGTTTTAGGGTTTAGGGTTTGTAGGGTTTAGGGTTTTAGGGTTGGGGCTTTTAGGGTTTAGGGTTTTTAGGGTCTTCAGGGTTTTTAGGGTCTTTAGGGGGGTGGGGGTGGGGGGGGGGGGAGGGAAGTGGGGGGGGGTGGGGGTATTTGGTCCTGTATTTGTTTGGCACCCAAACACTAACCAACAGTACTAGCAACCAAGCATAGCCATTGTCCAGCATCTATCACTGCAATGACAAACGGGCGCTTTGGAAGCGGGTGAAGGGGTGAGGGACGTGGTCTGAGCAAGTTTCAGAAGCGGGGTTTTGCCAAAGGAGCCCCTACCCCCTGTGGTGAACCGCCTATGGTCGGTGCGTTTACGCCGTGCAGGTGGCGCAGTCCATGAAAAAGTTGTGCACCGACCCCCCACCCGACCCCCCCCCCCCCCCCCCCCCCCCCTCCCCCCCCCCCTCCCCCCGTTTTAAGAGGGGAGGGGGAGGGTTCCCTCCCCCAAACCACCAACACGCTGCCAGGGTCGGCGGACCCTGAGCCCTAAACCCTAAGCCCTGAACCCTAAACCCTAGCCCTAAACCCAAGACCCTAATCCTTAAACCCCGAGGCCCTAAACGCTAAACGCGAAATCCTAAACCCGAAGCCCTGAACCCTATGTAAGCCCTCAAACCCTGAACCCGAAACCCTAAACCCCATATAAGCCCTCAAACCCTAAACCCTAAACCCTGAACCCTAAACCCTAAACCCTAGCCCTAAACCCTAAACCCTAAACCCTAAGCCCTAAGCCCTAAGCCCTAAACCCTAAACCCTAAGCCCTAAACCCTAAACCCTAAACCCTAAACCCTAAACCCTAAACCCTAAACCCTAAACCCTAAACCCTAAACCCTAGACCCAAACCCTAAACCCTAAACCCTCGGCAGGTTGTGCCAGAGCTCCATTCCTGGCTCCAGGGCCTCGAGGCTGAGAGCCTTGCTCAAGGGTTGTAAGGGTTTTGGGGCTTTAGGGGGCCACAAGCGGGTTAGGACTTCGGGTCTTACACAGTCATTTTTCTGGGTTTAGGGTTTAGGGTTTAGGGTTTAGGGTTTAGGGTTTCACATGGTCCCTTATCATGGTCCCTTAATATGGTCCCTTACCTTCCTTAAAGAGTTCCGAAGTTTGGGCCTATGGTATGTACTATGTACTGCGTATAAAAGGGGTACACAATATATGGGGTCCCCCTTAAAGCCCACATTGAGGGGTCATGTAGATACCCTTGGACCCCAGTTCTAGCCCTAAACCCCAGAAACCCTAAACCTTAAACCCTAGGCCCTAAACCCAAGAGGTCCATATCAAGGGGGCCATGTAACATACCCTAGCCCTTTAGGCTCAAAATAGCCCAACAGCCTTTCATAAGAAGGTCTTTGGGCCCAAAAACCCTCAAATTTTGGGGTTCTTGGAGCCCTAGGGCTATCCCTAAACCCTAAACCCAAAACCCTAAAACCCCAAAACCCCAAAACCCTAAACCCTAAACCCAAGAGGCCCAAATTAAGGGACCATGTAAAAGGACCATGTAACTACTGTACCCTAACCCCAAGGGTCCATGTACCTTGGGCCTTAACATACTTCCTTAAGGACTTTGGGACCAAATATCTTCAAAAAAAGGGTACATGGACCCAGCCTGCTGGCCACGTTCTTGGGGGGGGGGGGGGGGTGCTTAGGGTTTAGGGTTTAGGGTTTAGGGTTTAGGGTGTAGGGTTTAGGGCTAGGGCTTAGGGTTTGGGGTTTGGGGTTTAGGGTTTGGGGTTTAGGGTTTAGGGTTTAGGGTTCTTGCCTGCTGGCCAGGCCTTCAAAAACCAGGCCTTGGACGAGGCCTCCGTGCCGACGCTACACCAAAAACCTCAAACCCTAAACCCTAAACCCTAAACCCTAAACCCTAAACCCTAAACCCTAAACCCTAAACCCTAAACCCTAAACCCTAAACCCTAAACCCTAAACCCTAAACCCTAAACCCTAAACCCTAAACCCTAGCCCTAAACCCTAACCCTAAACCCTGCTGGGAACAAGAGGGTGTAGACAGGGAGGGCAGGCCCGCTGCCCCCCGTTCCCTGCCCTACTAACGTCTATCAACTTTGGCCATCACCCTTTCTGTTAACCCTTAACCCTAAACCCTACACCCTGAGAGAAAGGTTTTAGGTTTGGGGTTGCGGTTTACATCGTCCCGGACTCTCCGACTGGTTGTCGGCCCCCACACCAAGCATGGCATCATGTAGGACCCTGAACCTGGTTAAGGTTTTGGGGTTTAGGGTTTAGGGTTTGAGGTTTAGTATTTAGGGTTCAGAGTTTGAGGTTTAAGGTTTAAGGTTTAGGGTTTCAGGTTTTTGGTTTAGGGTTTGAGGTCTTAGATTCAAAATTTGGGGTATTTACAGGGGATTCCGATTCCCTGAGCCTTATAAGCCCTAACCCCGAAAGCCCTAAAGCTCGAGAAGGCACTGTTTTGGGTTTAGTGTTCAGGGTTCAGGGTTTAGGGTTTAGGGCTAGGGTTTACGGCTAGGGTTTAGGGTTTTAGTCAGGGTTTTAGGGTTTAGGGTTTTAGGGTTTTAGGTTTTTAGGGTTTTAGGGTTTTAGGGTTTTAGGGTTTTAGGGTTTTAGGGTTTTGGGGTTTTGGGGTTTTGGGGTTTTGGGGTTTTGGGGTTTTGGGGTTTTAGGGGTTTTAGGGTTTGGGGGGGGTTTGGGGGTTTTAGGGTTTAGGGGTTTCGAGTTTTGGGGTTTTCGGGTTTAGGGGTTTCGAGTTTTGGGGTTTTCGGGTTTAGGGTTTAGGGTTATCAAGCCTTGACCACGTGCTGATATAGAAAAGTTCGGATGTCAGTTTATGGTCCCTGAACCCAAAAACCTAACCACGCCTTCGCCTTGGGAGAGAACTAGGGATTTGCTAACCCGAAACCCTAGACCCTAGACCCTGGACCCTGAAACCTAATCCCTGCCCCCCAAATAGCCCTTCTTTAAGGGATCCCCTGAAGGTCCCCTCCTGTCCCCCAAACCCTAAACCCGAAACCCCACCCTAGAACATAAACCTCTTCCGTATGTATTTAAACCTTAATGACCTCAGTGGGTGGCAAATTTCACCTTGGTGCAATTATGTCCCACCATCGTTTCGAGGATGACACTCCGGACTTTCGCCTGCAACAGGCTCAGACGCATCGCAACCGGCTGGCAAAGGTTCTGCAGGGTCGTGGAGGCTTGGGTTTGCAGCAACGTCGTCGCAGTTGGTTAGTATGTGTACCAAGCATCTCAGCTCTATGGCCTCGAAGCAGTCGGCGGCCTTACAGAGCAGGGCTTGCGCAAGCTGCGTATTCAAATGATGAAGCATGTCAGGGCCTTCGCGAAGTCTCCTCGGCACATTGCGCGTCTTAAGTTGACGGACCCATTGCAAACTCTTCAAGGTCAGCTCATGGGCTACGAGAAAGACATCAGGCATCGGTCCGGTTGCGATGCTTCGGAGTTGAGCAACTACAGCCTCATTTTTTTTGCGTGTTCGTGGGCATTTGCCTGGTTCGTGGGTAAATTTGCATCCTTTTTGCCTGGTTCGTGGGCATTTTCTGGTTCGTGGGCAATTTTTGCCTGGTTCGTGGGCATTTGCCTGGTTCGTGGGCATGTTTGGCTTTCGATAAATAAAACTTTGATATTTTCCGATGTTGTGGGATCAAAGGGTGGGTGGGTAGATTTCGATACCAGAGTACCGAGCTTGACTAGTCTGAACCCTAAACCCTAAACCCCAAACCCCAAACCCTAAACCCTAAACCCCCCCCCTCCCCCTCCCCCCCCGAACCTTCGGAGGTCCGGAACCCGCCGGCCGCACTGCCCAAAGAGCCTCTCGAGGGCAGGTGGACAGTTCTCCGGGTTTCGGGTTTAGGGTTTGGGGTTTAGGGTTCAGGGTTTGAGGGGGTTGGGGTTTAGCGTTCGTCGGGTTTAGGGTTCATATATGGTTGTAGGATTTAGGTCCAGGGTGTAATCGGGTCTCACAGGGTGTAGTAGAGTCTGTTCAAGAGCGCTTGCAGGGCAAAGTTTTTGGTTACCAGGGTGTCAGGATTGAGAAGGCTGTTAGGGCTTCAGGGCTAGTTTGAAGTGGGGTTCGTAGGCTTAAGGGTTTAGGTTCTACGGCTTCGGGTTCAGGGTTCAGGGTTTATAGTAGGGTTTATAGGGTTCCTAGGGTTTGTAGGGCTTAGAGTGTTTAGAGGGCGTAATTAGAGGGTTTAGTGGGTGCAAAGGGTTTAGGGTTTAGGGTATTATGTCAGTTTGGGGTAGAAGCCTGCCTCCACAACTCTTAGCTTTTTGGTGCTTGGGATTCAGGCTTATCATGTACGTTTCCCTACTACCCCCCCCCCCCCCCCTCCCCCCTGCTAAGTAGGGTTTAGGGTTTAGGGTTTAGGGTTTCGGATTTCACTACTACCCCCCTCTATACTACCCCCGCTTAAATAACCTTAATCAGGCTTAATTTGCCCTAAATGGCCTTAATTATGTGGGGAACCTGGGGGAAGGGGGGTGGGGGGGGGGGGGGGGGTAGTAACTCGTAGGGGAACCAATGAACCAATGAGAGTTATAAACTTAGATGTCCGGCCAGCAGCACGACTGGGGCAAGCTGGAGCACAGCCCGGGCGAGTCCCCACACCCAAAACCCAAACCCCCCAAACCCTGAACCCTACCCCCTAAACACTGCAAACACTAAGCCCTAAAGCCTAAGCCTCAGCATCTTGCACCTTAAGCCCGAAACCCTAGGCCCCAAAACCTGAATTGAGGTCATTCCTTAGTTGAGGGAATTTCGGAAGCTCTATTCCCTTGTGATGTAATTATGGGGATGGGGTTCCCTTTTATATAGAGACTTCTTAAGCAAAATGGCACCCTCCTTTTTGACTAGGTTACTCCGGAAATCCTGAGCCTAAACCTATGGACCGAAACCCTAAACGCTAAACCCAAAACCCTCTTAAACCTTTCAAAGGGAATGCTGGAAGCTACCCTATAAAACCATAAAACCCAAGAAACCCTAAAATCCCTATCAACCCTGTAAAAACCCTATAAACCCTATAAAACCCAATAAACCTTTCAAAGGGGATGCCTGAAGCTTGGGGAAATGCGTGTTAAGGGCCTGGTCGATGGTTGGCGGCTACGACGCGGCTCAGCCAGCGTCGGCACTCCTTCAGCAGCTTGTACGCTACAGTGTACCCTCCACCCCCCCCCCTCTCCCCACTCCAAAAAAAAGGACGAAACTGGGTTAGGGTCGGGTTTAGTTAGGGTTTCGGGCTTGTGCGCTCACCACTTGCAATCTGAACAGGGTTTAGGGTTCAAGGTTTCCGGCTATCAGTGCAGCTTCAACCCAACGACAAGCCGGCTGAGTTGCCTTTGATAGAGCAAAAACTGGGATACGAGTAACGTTTTCATAAGGGGTTACGTGCCCAAATTGAAGCCCCAAGAGGATAAATCGCTACATGTGTTGGGTTTGGGTTTAGGGTTTTGAGGGTGTTGGGTTTAGATTTTCGGGTTTAAGGTGTGGTCTAGTTCGAACTGTTGTATGCCAAGCCAAATCGATGCGTCCTCGGGCCAGCACAGGGGGGTCTTCGGTCTGCATAGGCTGGGTTCGTTAAAAGGTATTTTTCTGGTAGGTTCCTAAACCCTAAACCCTAGAACCCGAAACTTACAGAACCCCAACTTACAAGGGTCCTCCACTGCAGTATTCGGGGTTTCGGGCTTTGGGGAATCAGAGGCATCAGGCTTCCGATTAGAGACCCTTCTGAGAAGCCTAGGACTTGATTAGGGTTTAGGGATAAGGTTTTGGAGTTCGGGTTTGGGGATCAGGTGTTTCTGTAAATGAAGAATCTGGCTCATATACAAATACGAAGTACAGTAGGGTTCAGGCCCCTAAACCCGAAGTAAGACTGAGGATCATGAAGTTGGAGAAGATTCCTCGCATCCTTACGGTAAGTACATGATGCGCTACTATTTCCCGCTGAAAGATTTAAAATAAAACCCTTGTATTACCCTTATAGGGAAGAATATATTTTTGTTTTTGGGGTTCTTAAGCAATTGGTAGCTTAGGTACATGATGCGCGACATGCCGGATGGCACGCGACAGCCCAGCATCATCTACAACGGCTTCTTAGGCGTGCTGAAGGCCCCCCCAAAACGTGAACCCGAACCCCTGTTTAGGTTTTGGGCATAGGGTTTGGGGTTTAGGGCTTAGGGTTTCGGGCTTAGGGTTTAGCTCGTCCCCATGACCCTAGTGTCTGTGGCTTCGACCTCGGCGACGGCTTAGTCACAAGTTCGTGGGCAGATGGAGAGCATGCCTAGACCTCTCTTGCTTTGATGAACGCTTTGGGTTGTAGCCCGAAACCTGTGGCAAGGAGGGCGTAGGGGTGGTTGGTACATTTGCCGATGTAGCCGGTCTCTTCCCGCCCCACCCCCTCCATCGGATTTAGGGTTTTTGGGGTTCAGGGTTTCGGAAACCGAAAACCAAACATGAATAGCGATCTTGGGCCCCTTAGCTGGTCGCAGCCGGGAGTTTTGGAGGGTACTTGGAGGTTCATGGTGCTTGGTAGCCCAAGAGCAACTGCACTTACAACCCAAGTGTAACCCCTATTAGGGTACTCAAGGGGCTTATATGTGGGTTATACGTACACTCATGAAGGGTTACTAAGTGCCCTGAACCGCCAAGTATGGGCCATGAGATGTTTAAGGTGGGCTCTAAGGAGATCATCCACGGTCAGGGTGTCTCAGCTGGCCGCACCCTTAGAGGCCTTCAGAAAGGTCAGGGCAAGCCATCCTGAGCTCGTGGCTCAGCTCGACATCATGTCTCAGCCCGCTGCCAATGTCGACTCAGTCATCCTGGGGGTGGGTGCTTCAGAAGCAAGCTCAGGAGCACGCCTGCAGCATGTGGCAGCGAGACTGCTTCTCAGCGGTCTTCTCTCAGAGCAGCAGTGAGTCGCAGCTAAGTGCACGTCTGAGCTGCAAATGACGGACTCATACTTTGCGAAGCAGTTTTAAGGCTTTCGTTCGTCAGGAGCACCTCTTGATGGTTGAGCTCGTTTGAGAAAACACGGCACAAAGTTTCCTGAGCCCCAATTCATTTGGGCGTCGCTACAACCCCAAATCCTAATCTTCAGCGCACTCTAAGCCTCTGAGATGCGCTGGGCCCATAACCCCCGAGCCCTCAAGCCCTGAACCGCTAAACCCTACAACCGCTAAGCCCTTACAAGCCCCAAAACCCCCTAAACCTCAAAGTCCCTAAACCCCTAAACCCCTAAACCCTGAACCCCTTTAAACCCCTAAACCCCTGAACCCTAAACCCCAAATTCCCTAAACTTCAGGGTTTTAGCCCCAAGCCCCCTAAGCCTCAAAAGTCCCTAAACCTCAAAGCTTGAGGGTTTTGGGTTTAGGACCGAAACCCTAAGCCCAACTGGGAGCCCACATGGCTTGGCACCTCTTAGGCTTAGGGTCTAGGGTTTAGGGTTTAGGGTTTAGGGGTTTAGGGGTTTAGGGGTTAGGGTTTAGGGGTTTAGGGTTTAGGGTTTAGGGTTTAGGGTTTAGGGTTTGGGGCGTGGCTCCAGGGTTCAGCGGTTTCGGTTGGCCTTTGGCAGCAGATTTTGACAGTTTCAAGATGTATTGGCTCCTTTTGATAGAACCCTAAACCCTGAACCCTAAACCCCAAACCCTAAACCCCAAACCCTAACCCCGAAGGGGTATTGGCTCCTTTTGATAGGGGACGACTACCAGCCCTTGTGCCTCGATGACGCGAGCTGCCGTGGCTCGGACTGCTTTCCGGTCCCTCCTAGGGCTTTTGGGGGTGTAGGGTTCCAGGGGTTTAGGGTTTAGGGTTTAGGGTTTAGGGCTTTCGGGTTTGAGGGTTTCAGGGGTTCAGGGTACTTTACCACACAATCCCCACTTTTGACGACCCTGAAAGAGAAGCCTTTTGAAGACATTGAGGGAAAAGGAGAAAATGCCCACGTGCCCATTTGCCAGGGTTTGCAATCAGGCTTAGGGTGCAGTGTTCCGGTTTCATGCTTAAGACCCCAAACCCTAAACTCTAACCCTACACCCTACAGTAAATCTCGGCCCAGAAGGGACTGCAAGGTATTTGCACCCCCAGTGCTTATTTAAATTTAAGGTTTGGGGTTCAGAGGTGTTTAGGGCCCTAAACCCTAAACCGTAAACCCTAACTCCTCAACCCTGCAAAGCCCTAAAACCGCCAAAGCCCGAAATCGCCACATTGTTGGAGGGTTAAGGGTTTTTTGATATCACGGGCTGTGGCCTGGGCGTGGAGTGCACGAAAGATCCTGAGAAGTATTGTATATGGGGTGGCTTGTGTGGATGCGAAACCCTAAACTAAACCCTAAGCCCCTAAACCCCTAAACCCCTAAACCCCTAAACCCCTAAACCCTAAACCCTGAACCTATCCAGATCCAACCTCAAGAAAGGGATTGGGGTGGTCGGGGGGGTAGAGTTTGCTGGACGCGGGTGTTTGGGTGCTTTGAAATGGACGGACGCTGTATTTGGGGCAGTCGGGGTGGTTGAGAGTTTGAGGCTTGTGGTGAGGGTTGGTTTGTAGTTCGGTGGAGCTTTGGGGAGGGTTTGAGTTCGGCCTCGGCGTTTCCGGTTTGGGGGTTGAGGTGGACGTTTCTGGGCCCCGAGGTTTTTGGGGGCATTGGGGCTTGGGTGTCTGAAGCCCTAAAGCCTTAAACCCTAAAGCCCCAAACCCTTTACCAAACATCCAACCTGAATCTCGGAATCCCGTCACTAAAACTCTAAAACTGTTTAACCCATCCACCCCAAAACCTTGAACCCGGAAACCCTGAAGCCAGAAATCCCTCTAAAGCCCTAAGCCCTAAACCCTAAACCCTAAGCCCTAAACCCTAAACCCTAAATCCTAAACCCACAATGCCCTTCGGTCTTGTTGTAGGCTGGCTGCGTGACGGGGGCGTCCGATTCGTGGCGTCTGGGCATCTGTGCCTCAGTTGCCTTTGGGGGTAGGGTTTAGGGTTTAGGGTTTGGGGTTTAGGGTTGAGGGTTGAGGGTTTAGGGTTTAGGGTTTAGGGTTTAGGGTCTTGGGCCTTGGGCCTAGGGGTTTTAAGTTCTGAGGGTTGGTCTATGGTCCCTTAAGATGGTCCCTTACCTTCTTTCAAGGGTTCTGAAGTATGGGCCCTTGGATTTTATAGGGTATATAAGGGGTATGTCAGGGGTCCCCTTTTCAGAGATAGGGGTCAAAAAACACAAAAAGGATCGAAAACAAAGTAAAAGGGATAAACAAGGAATAAACCCTAAACCCCAAACCCGAAACCCCAAACCCTGAACCCTGAACCCTGAACCCTGAACCCTGAACCCTAAGCCCTACCCTAAACCTCAAACCCTAAACCCTCGGCTATTTTTTGTTGATCCTTTTTTTGGATCCGGCAGCCCTTTCAGGGCCCAAACTAAGGAACCATGTAAAAATTTAATGCTTCGGGGTTTAGGCTTTAGGGCTTTAGGGTTCTCACGGGAGCCACAGGCAATAAACGACCAATTGGTTGACATGTAAATATTTTGTCAAAGGGTTTGAAGAATCCAGAAACCTCATGGGGCTTCTTAGTGGGGTTGATGGCCTTCTTTCCTCAGTTAACGACGCGCTCCCAGCTCTGAGGAGGTGATCTGCGGTTGAGGGTTTAGGGTTTAGGGTTTAGTGTTTAGGGTTTAGGGTTAGGAGGGGGGAGGGGTCCCTAAGCCCGAAGTCATTGAAGTCTCAGGCTCAGGCTTAGGGTTGATAGGGGTCGCGGGTTTAGGGCCCTTGCAGCCCCGCATAAGTCAGCAAACCCTAAAAGTAGCTTGCTCCGGCGTGGTGGACCTGAACGACCTCGGGCTTGACGAGAATCCTCGCTTCCCTAACACAAACTCAAGCATCTTGCCGGCTGCTGCATCGGGCGCGCGCCGTTGGGCCCCTGGCGGCTGTGCAGAAGTGCAGAAATGGCAAGTGCCACGGGGAGAAGGGAGTCTTCAACATGCTGCCGGTGGACTTCCACAGGAGAATGGCAGGGTTCGGCCGGGAGCGCCATGCGAGGGTCTTTCGCTGGCTGTTTAGGGTTTATTGTTTAGGGTTTAGGGTTTAGGGTTTTGAGTTTTTCTGAAGCCACAAATTGACAAAGAGAATGTGGGCTCTGGCTGCGCGCGCACCGGCCCTCGACAGTGCCCTCTAGATCGCGACGGCCACGCGGCATATGGCAGCAAGATCTGTGTCCAACGGCAAACACCACGTGGTCAGCACAGGAGGTTGTCCACACCTTTTGCAGCTGTCTACTCTCTACGGCGACAGCCGAGGCACCAGCGCGCGAGACCTTCCCGCACCAGGTTTGTTTGGTTGAGTACTGGGATCAAATGCCGGATACGAACAGAATGACGTTCTGGAGTGCGCCGTTGCAGCAGAGTAATTCTCCAGGGTCAATACAGCAGGTCGCTGAGGGCCATTTCCTGTCCCTATGTCATGCCCGCAAGGGTTCCTCAAGTCTTCAACGTGTGTGCAAGGCGGCTGTTTTGAAATCATGGCACGAATTCCAGAGTACGCCGATTGGGCTAGACCGCTCCTGAAGAAGCTGCGAACTCAAAGCCTATATAAACCCCAAACCCGAAACAGGGCGTAGAGTTTAGGGATTAGGGTTTGAGGGTTTAGGGTTTAGGGTGTGGGGTTTAATTTGGGTTTAGGGTTTAGGGACACAAGATTTCTGAAAGGATTTGGAAGGTGCTGGGGTAGCCAAGGCCCAATGGCGACTCCCCGCTGGTGCTCCACTGCGAGGCTTTGGGGTTAGGGTTTAGGGTTTAGGGTTTAGGGTTCAGGGTTTGGGATTTAGGGTTTGGGGCTCACCAATCCGAAACGGTGAGTTTGTTCATTCTTCCCAGCCCCTTTCTCCTAAAGGCATCCGCCCAGATATGTCATTTAGGGTTTCGGGCCGACGCCTGAAAGTCCCACTTCCCACCCCCATCCTCTCAACAGGTAGGTCTTCCCCCTCGGGACAACATAAGCTTCGGCTCAAAGGGGAAGGTTTCATTCAGCTTTCAGAACATCGCGCAGGGTTGAGAAGTGCTTAACAGGGTATTGTAAACCCTAAACCCTAAGCCCTAGACCCTAAACCCTAACCCCTAAACCCTAGAAGTATAATTCGAAGGCTTGGTAAGGTTTGGAAGAGAGTTTGATAGGTTCGGTCTTGCAGGGTTTAGTAAGGTTTAGTGGGGGGGGGGGGGTGCACCAAATCCTCGTTATGTCCTGAGTACAGGGTTTAGTTCCCTAAATATCTTGAGAAGTCAACCCCACCGCATTCCGCCCATAGTAACCCAAAACCCTCAGCGCCCCCCCCTCCCCAACCACCCTGACTCATCGACCCTACATTCCGGAACCCTTAAACCCTAAACCCTGAAGCTTGCACAAAGTCCTGAGCAGCAGAGGGTCTTGGGTCTAGGCCTGTAAGGCTGCATGGCTGGCTTAGGTGTTTAGGACTGTACGGTTTAGGGGTTTAGGGTTGAGGGTTTAGGGTCTAGGGGTTTAGGGGTTCAGGGTTTACTGTGAAACCTCGCAAATGTGCTGATGCAAGGGATGTAGGGTTTGAGGCGAATGATATGGGCGACTAGGCTTTATAGGGTTACAGGGCTTCGGGGGTTTCAGATTTATGGAACCCTAAGCCCGAAACCCTAAACCGTAAACCCTAAACCCAACCCTAAACCCTAAGCCCTAAACCCTAAACCCTAAGCCCTAAGCTCTAAACTCTAAACCCTGAAGGGTCTTGTTTCCTCAGCCTTCAGCCACCTCGCGCGGAGCTTCGCAGGACATCACCATTGTGACCACGGATATTTCGTACGCAGAGAGTGCGCCTTGGCTTTTAAGGTGTACGGCTTAGGGTTTAGGGTTTAGGGTTTAGGGTTTAGGGCTTAGGGTTTAGGGTTTAGGGTATTAGGTTTAGGGTTTAGGGTTAGGGTTAGGGTTTAGGGTTTAGGGTTTAGGGTTTAGGGTTTAGGGTTTAGGGTTTAGGGTTTAGGGTTTAGGGTTTAGGGTTTAGGGTTTAGGGTTTAGGGTTCTCAACCCAAAGCCCGATAAGCCACCGCACCGACCGCAAACCCACAGGAGCTTGTTAGACCCCAAAAGGAGGTAGTTCGAGTTATGGGAACCTCTGCTACCCCCACTCCTACATCCCGACTCCCCGAGCCCAAATACAGGCTCAACATTCAGCGCAAGGCGAGAAGGGTTACAGGGTCTAGGCAGTTTGGGGTTAGGGCCCTAAACCCTAAACCCTCAACCCTAAACCCTAAACCCTAAACCCTAAACCCTAAACCCTAAACCCTAAACCCTAAACCCTAACCCTAAACCCTATAGGGCTTACCAACTCAACTGCAAGGTCGCCTGGGAAGGCGTGGAGGGCGACAAGCTTCCTTCGGGACAAGCCGTCTGCATCTGGGGCTGAGTGTTAGCAGGGTTTAGGGATTTGGTTTAGGGTTTAGGGTCTAGGGTTTTGGGTTTAGGGTTTAGGGTTTAGGGTTTAAGGTAGCCCATTACAAGTGCAAAGCAATAACCCACATGCAAGCCCCTCAAGTACCCTAATAGGGATATACTTGGGTTTTTCAAGTACAGCTGTAATTGGGTTACTAAGTACCAGAGAAGCTACCACAAGGTTTGGGGCTTGACAGGTCTCGACTCCTTAGGGTTTGGGGCTTTGGGGGTTGAGAGTCTTTTGGGAGGTCTTTTGGCTTGTGGTTGCAGGGCTCAGGGCTTCTGGAGCAGCTCAAGGAAGGTTTAGAGTTTCGGGTTTAGGGTTTGGAGTTTAGGGTCTTGATTTGGCCCTAAACCCTGAATGAAGCCTAAAACGAAGCAGGCGTTACAGGCTTAAGCGGCTTAGGCCGGCAACTTGCATGGTTGTGAACCTTCGGACTTAGGGTCTCGAACCCTAAACCCTAAACCCTAAACCCTAAACCCTAAACCCTAAACCCTAAACCCTAAACCGAACTTAGCCTAAGCGCCATGCGTTTAGGGTGTGGGGTGAGGGCTTGGGGCATGAGGGTTGAGGTACAAAACACTACCCGTAGTGATAAGTCTGGCTGCGATTCTATGTGTCAGTCTCGCAAGCAAGGCAACTTGGGTTAGATTTGGGTCATACAGTTGCTAAGTTAATGAACCCTAAGCCCTAAAGCCCTAAACCCCTAAACCCCTAAACCCCTAAACCCCTAAACCCCTAAACCCTAAACCCCTAAACCCTAAACCCTAAACAGGCCTGTGTTAGAACTGGGAGTTGGTCGTTGTTGAGGCTCCCTCAACACCCCCAAAGCCCTCCCACCCCCCCCACCCGGCCCCGAACAGCAAACCCTGAGCCCTAAACCCTGAACCTTATAAACCCTAAACCCTAAACCCTAAACCTTAAACCCTAAACCCTAAACCCGAAACCCCCAACACCAAGCCCAAAACACCACCTCCGGCCAGGTGAGGCGGTGTTTTCCCCGCAGATGGAGGAGGACATTGCATGGGTCTGCCAAAGGCTACCAGGTTTAGGGTTTAGGGTTCAGGGTTCAGGGTTTAGGGTTTAGGGTTTAGGTTGTGTTTTTTTTTTTTTTTTTTTTTTTCTCCTGTTTTCGGGTTGAAGAGGGTCATGTTCATGTGTGAGGGTTTAGAGGTGTTGGGGTTTTCTGTTGGGCATACAGGGGTTTTTGGATGCCAAGAAACCCTCAATTCCGAACCCGACTGAACCCTCAAAGGGGTTCCCAAAAGGCTCAGAACCCACAAATCTTGGAAATCATCGGTTGAGGGTTTAGGGTTTAGGGTTAAGGGTTAAGGGTTTAGGGTGGTTGCCCCCGAAACCCCGAGCCCCAATCCCAAAACCCTGCCTCTGACCCTACAAGCCCTGTTACATAAGCCCGCGAAGACCAAACAACGCAATCCACAACAAACAAGACTTTGTGGTTCTTTACTGTAACTTTAGACCCTAATCCTTTTTGGGTTTATTGGGCTTCTTAATAAGGCAGCTAAAAATCTAATTTATAACTACCCTCCTAAGTGCAGCCAAGAAAAGGGCAAATAATCAATTCCAAGCACTTCGAGGGTTTAGGGTTTAGGGTTTAGGGTTTAGGGTTTAGGGTCTAGGGTTTAGGGTTTAGGGTTTAGGAGCAGAGTTTAGGGTTTAGGGTTAAGGCATATCCCCTCAACTCCAAGAGCCCTAAACCTCCCCGCGGCGAAGGAAAGCCATGTCCACGGCGTTCTCCGAACGGGGCGCCGGCACTCCGCGCGGATCCGCGCCGAACCAAGCACAGGGCCTTCAGGGCTTTTTTGTGTTTAGGGTTTAGGGTTTAGGGTTGGGTTTAGGGTTTAGGGTTTAGGGTTTAGGGTTTAGGGTTTAGGGTTTAGGGTTTAGGGTTTAGGGTGGCGTTTAGGGCTTTTAGGCGATGTCGGGGGGTTTCTAGGGATCTATGGGGTTTTCAGGGCTTTTGGGGCTTTCCTTTCTTTTTGTTTTTGTTTGCCCCTTTTAGGCGTTGTTTATAGGGTTTCATGGGGAGTTATAGGGCTTTATAGGGTTTAAAGGTTTCGGGTCATATGGGGGGATTTTTACTCAACGCCCACAGCTGTGGACCATCGGCACATTGCCTCATTGAAGCGCCCGGGGGCTGGATCGGGATGCTCTCACCTAGCCGGGTTTAACAATGGTAGGGTTTAGGGCTTAGGGCTTAGGGTTTAGGGTTTAGGGTTCAGGGTGAGGGCCCCGGAGTGGCAGAAGTATCCGCAGGACGAGATTTTATTTTGTCCATCTTCGGTCGCTGCCACATCGGTCTCGACAACACATGAGCAGATGGTTCAGAAGGTCTGGCTCTCAGGGGTTTTATGGCTTAAGGCTTGGGGTTTAGGGTTTAGGGTTCAGGGTTTAGGGATACTGAACCAACATTTCATGCACCAGGACACCACCAAACCGCTAAAACCCTCCTCCTCAAGACATCCCACTCAGTACCCCTAAACCCTGAACTCTGAACCCTAAACCCTAAACCCTAAACCCTAAAAAAGGAATGTCCCAAGTGAAGCCTCTTTCCCAGGTGACCCGGCACTGGGCAAGATCGTTGACGGCAGCTGGCGCCCGTCCCTCAGACCGGCTTCAGGGCGTGTCCGTGTAGGGCTTGGAGGGTTTCGGGGTTTGGGGAACGGAATGGGTTTAGGGTTTAGGGTTTAGGGTTTAGGGTTTAGGGTTTAGGGTTTAGGGTTTAGGGTTTAGGGTTTAGGGTTTAGGGTTTCGGGAATGTAGGGGTTAGGGATATCAGGGTTTTGGGTTTGTTAGGGAAGTTCAGGTTGAGGGAAGTTAGGAAAATTAGGACACCCTGCACACCCAGTCGCGAGTTTCCCTGCGGCATGACACTGCGATAGCCCTAAACCCTAAACCCTCAACCCTAAACCCTAAACCCTAAACCCTAAACCCTAAACCTTCTTTGTCTCCAGGGTTTCCTCCAAAATAGGGAGGCGGGGCCCCAGGCCAGCCCCTTGCTGGCAGGACACCGCTCGGGTCATGGAAAATCGAGCCGGGGTTCGGGTTTGGGTTTCAACCCCTATACAAGGAGGGGCCCCCTTACTATACTAACTGTATATAAGGGACTTATAACCTAGTTTAGGATCCTTATAACCCAATTAAGGGCTCTTATAACTCTACTTATAAGTACGGTCAAAACTTATGATAAGAAAGGTTCGAAGGTCCACCAGAGTCTGGGACATTTCTTAACCAGGCAGATGTATTAAGAAAGGTAGATTTGAGGCGAGAGTCTTGAAAACATTTCTTATTCAACCTGACCAACCCTTTGCTTTCTCCGCCCTCCAGCCCTCCAGCCCTCCAGCCCTCCAGCCCTCCAGCCCTCCAGCCCTCCAGCCCCAAAGATTTTGGAGCAAGAAAGGATTCAGATTGACAGGTCTAGGACAGGGGCTGGAGGGCTGGAGGGCTGGAGGGCTGGAGGGCTGGAGGGCTGGAGGGCTGGAGGGCTGGAGGGCTGGAGGGCTGGAGGGCTGGAGGGCTGGGGGGCTGGAGGGCTGGAGGGCTGGAGGCTGGAGGGCTTAATCCTGGGGGGGAGGGCTGGAGGGCTGGAGGGCTGGAGGGCTGGAGGGCTGGAGGGCTGGAGGGCTGGAGGGCTGGAGGGCTGGAGGGCTGGAGGGGTGGAGGGGTGGAGGGGTGGAGGGGTGGAGGGCTGGAGGGCTGGAGGGCTGGAGGGCTGGAGGGCTGGAGGGCTGGAGGGCTGGAGGGCTGGAGGGCTGGAGGGCTGGAGGGCTGGAGCCTTGCAAGAAGGCCATTCAATTTGTAATTACGTTTGGGTTGCGATTCAGACTCTGAATATAATTATTTTTCTCAATTCGAGAGTCTAATTTCTTGCTTCATAAAATTTCTTCACACAAAGTTCCACCGTAGGGGGCCCCACCCTGTAAGGGTTTAGGGTTTTAGGCTTTAATTAGGGTTTAGGGTGCCTGTTAGCCCTATGTGGGGGTTTCCGAGAGTAGGGGTACCTTGCAGGGGTCCTTGTTACCAGGGGTCCTCATTTTCGTAAACCCCATGTGCTCTATAAACCCAAGAAGCTACCAAACCTAATTCCTGAGCCCTATAAAACCCTAATCCCTAAAAACCCTGAAACCCTAAACCCTAGAACCTAAACCCTAAACCCTAAACCCTAAACCCGAAAAAGTCCTAAACCCTAAACGTATATAGCTTTGGGCCGGAGCCCACTCGAGTGACCACTTCGCCGAAAGATTCAAGATCCATCCTACCAAGCCCCTGGCTCTATCACAAAGCCATCGTGCGCCAGAACTTGTACCCTAGACCCTATTTTAGGGTTTAGGGTTT